ATATATATATATATATATAAAATATAAACTTCCTTTTATACTTTTGCGAGAAGCACTGACTTTTACAGTCGACGGCTTACTTTGACATTTAAATCTGTGCTATGTATGGAGGTACGGAATGGATAATAGATTTATTAAAACCTTAACAGTGGCTCTAAGTGTTGTTTTAGTGGTTCTAACATGATTAAACGGTATACAGCCAACACAAAATATGATGGGATGCAGAATAACATAGCTTAAAACAACTTATTCGCAAGGAGCAGTTATCTCCTTACAATCTCTCTTTCTTAAGGAATCAAATCGGTGAAAAAATCATTCCGGAAGGAAAACTTAGCAGGGGTTGGTCAAATTGGGAAGAGAGGAGATTGAGGAAAGGGTAGTTACCGTTTTCTTCCTAAGAAACATAATACATGCTTTGAAATGACCCATTAGTATCTTTAAATTAAGTGCTTAGCTAAAACTTTATATCGCAAAAGAGCTTCCGTATATTGTCCTAGTGTAAAAGTAAGCCGTCGACTGTAAAAGTCAGCGCTTCTCGCAAAAGTCCATTATCAGGTAACCAAGAGAAAAGGAAGGAGTTATTAAGGATAAAAGTACCTCAACATTATTACATATTGTGAATCATCTATAATACATATATAATTATATCAAAACCTTACTGCGAGATACCTTTTTTGACAATAATTGTACAAAATGTTGTCCCGGAGTTACAAGCTTAATTCTATGATGCATTTCTTTCAATCCTAGACTACACGTATATAAACCCCCCGGAAAAAAAACCATGATACAATATACAGTGCAACATGAAAATGAAGAAATTATATGCATTCCAATTTGAAGATGATTACACGTCTCTATAATTAGTGGTCCGTCTTCTTAATTTACAAAAAAACTACACGCTCCTGCTTGTGCGGATCAAAGATAACCAATATGTCAGTCATATATAAAAGAAAACAAGAAGGCGATTGCAATGTATACAAGCTTCATGAATTTACCTGCTAAATCTATTAATGTCCAGGTTCAGGCGAGCAGCGCAGACCTGTAAACAAAAGAATAAATTAAAAAGAAATAACGGAAGCGAATTTCTGTAAAAAATTAATTGATGATAAAAACGATGCTTAAAACTTTAAAAAGTTAGGTAATTGCTATTGATATGAAGGAAAAATTTAAAGGATTATTTAATTTGCAAGCTGTAAACAGCTCTTTGCAAAATTTATCTTGAAATATAGTTATTACCAATACGCTATAATTGAGAAATATAAAGCTTTTTATTCATTGTACTGATTATCTGAATAATATATATCATGCTAATTAACATATGAGTTATGAACATTCATACAACATTAAATAACACACAAGATTATTGCCTTTCTTTGTTAAATGTCCTAAAAAGAAAGAAAAAAATATTTTATTTAACTGTAAAAAAAAGAATAGATTAGAAATAAGATTTTTTTTCCTTTCGATTGTTTTCTGCAATTGTGATAATTTTGAGTTTTTATATAAATAAATCTTACCATATATGTTGATATGGGACAGACAAAATATGCTACATGTAGTATAGAAACTATGTTATATGATATTATTCCTGCTGTTCAGAATATTTCTATAAGAACTTACAGATAATAGTAATCTAATGAGAACTTAAGGTACATTTTACAAACTTTTAAAAACCCCATGCTGCATTGCTGCAGAAACAGTTATTCTTTTTGTAACATCTGGATCTAGCATCTGTTTGAACAAATCTTTCAACGTTGGAACCAAAGAATGTAATGAATTCTCCAGCAACCGGAGTTCCTCTTTTATGATAGCACCTTCCTCTAATGCCTGCATTTAAAAAGTGATGAACGCATTAATGTATGTACACACAAGGTACAGTTTACAGCAACATGAGAAATGTCTTATATATATTTTCAAAAAACAAACTGAACACTCACACAAAAGCAACTAAGAAATTCATTCATATTCACTGTTTTGATGAACAATTTTGCATATAACATTTAATGTAAAGCAACAGTGATTGTTATGAATTGTATATTAATGAAATAGAAGATATAGAATATTGATCAATCTAGACAAAAAAACCCTAAAGCAAGGACACCTGGAAAATATAGAGGTGGGATCAGGTATCTAGGATGAGTAACCATTTCATGTCGATCGGTCACACACACCGAAATTAAAGTCCTGTGTATTGACATATCAATTCAGGACATTTCAAGAATAGAGGTTTAGTTTTTGGCTACCTACGATACAAGTTAGTTAACAAACTTACCTCGACAAAACTCTGTCCATTTTCTTTACGTTGGATCCAATATTTCTCAAAAACAAATCTTCCGAGGAAGTGGGAAAGCATGGTACACCCAAGAGTCCATACATCATGAGCCTCTAGGTCGATTAATTCAGGTTTATTTCTTAATGTCTCGGGAGGATAAAATCGTCTTGTACCGTCTATAGATTATATGTGTATATCAAGTAAAACATACATGTATCTTGTATGTGTGATAATGATATCTTATCAATAATTTGGCTATAAAGCAAAAATTATCATAAGAGGGTAAGTCAGTCTTGGGAAAATGTTTGCACTCTCTTCTGCAGTATTTTACTTCTTTACATGTTCTTAACTATGGTATCTGGAAAGGGCCAAGTAGTTCATTATCTCTTCATCGCCGAGATAATGCGATGACGATGATGCGATGGCGCGACAGTGTAATGACGATGGTGCAATAGAACAATGAAGCGATAGTGAACATCGCTTCATCGTCATTTTACCATCTTGCCATCGTCATTGCACCATAGTGTCATCGGACCATAGCATCACTGAGCTATAGCTTCATTGTACCAAACCATCATCGCCATCGCATTGTCGCGCCATTGCTTCATCGTCATCGCACCATTGTTTCATCGTCATCGCATTATCGCACTTTCGACCCAAACCTCGATGGTGGGGTTATGCGATAGTGAATTACATGGCTCTATCTGTATTCCATACATTACAGACCACTTTATCATAATATTTTTTATCAAAGCATTAAAGTCTTATTTTTGGATATCGTCGGTCTTATAACAGAAAGGTACGAACAGGTGCTGTAATACGGCCGACGACATCCAGAAATAAGAAAGCAATGTTTATATTTAAATTCTTTATTTTTCTTTCTTCAGAAATGGTAATTTCAATCATCTACATTTTAATTTTTGCGCCATTCAGAACTCGTGAGATAAAAAGACGTAAGAGATCCTTTGACTTAAAAATTTAAATGACGCAAATGAATACTGCGAGGATAAAATAGCATATCAATTTTAAACAATCAATTATTATACTTTTACAAAAATTAATGAAGGTAGTTGTTTTTAATTAAATTTAAAAGAAAATTAAAACGATATACATTTTGGTTTTCCTAGTGCATGTATATTGAAAGTGTATATAGTTCCTTTTGTGTATTCTACCGCGCCGTGACAAGAAATAATTTTCATGTCAATGCAATAAAAATGCATCAATATCCTTCCTTCAAAATTCAGAAACAGGACTAAAAGGATGAATAAGAACACTTTTTGTATGCTCTAACGTATTTGTAAACCATCTTCAATTAGATATCAAGTAATTACCGTACCGTTGTACTTGCAGTGAATTTTTCCAAGGCATTTTGCAGATCCCCAGTCAATGAAAACAACAGAATCGGATTTCTCTCCTTTTAATGCAACGTTATCCTCTGAAAAAAGTCATGAGTAAATATGAGTAATCATTGTTAATTTACAATGATTAACAAGAACAACGCCCAAAATTGTCTTTATATTTGAAAAGCTCAGGAGGAAATGAATTTAACAAAAAAAAAAAAAAAAAAAAAAAAAAAAAAAATCAAGATAGTTTTTCCAAAACGAAATATATACTAAAAATTTTTACATGCCTGTACGGTTTAAATAAATTCTCGTTACTATCAAAATATCAAAATACACATGGATAAAAATATGCTGAAGATTTATTTCCTTAAGTTATCTTTAAATTTTTAAATATTGTATTTCCACGTCCGTTCTTGAAGAGAATAATGTATATGTCAAAGCAATATGTCTTGTGAAACAAAGAACGTCATCTACGTTAGAACATGCTCTTGTTGTAAGGAATTTTACATTTGAGAAACAAGCAACAAACTAAGAACTCGAATACGTGTCTATAAACAGCAAATAATCAATCAAGAATAAAGGACAAAGTCAACTAAGTGAACATTTAGTTGTGTGTGATAACGCATTCCCTTTTATACAATACTGTTTGGAAACCATATCCAACGAAAAGAAAAAGAAAAAAATATTCATACCTTCAATTCAAAGCTTAAAAGCATTATTATATTTTCTCTTAATAAACATCAAAGTGACTTTATAATGCACCGCTTATCATGGCGTCACAATTTAAGTTACTATGCAAAAATTTGCTAAGTATCCAAAAGATTGTTAATGAAAGGGGTAATGCTAGCTGTGTTAGCTTAAAATCTTCTTCATCTTCTCTATTTGAATATTTTTCATTATACAACAATGTATGAAATAAATATATTTAGTCAAACCTCTTTATTTCAAACTTAACGGGACCGAGAGAAAAAACTTCGAGATAACCGAGGATTCGATTTAACCAGAGTAAAAAGCTTAAAAAAAATAAAGGGGTTGGGACTTCGAAATTACTTCGACGTATCCATGGTATTTGAGATATCAGTGTTCAAAAAACCGAAGTTCAACTGTATATATATGAAAATAAATATCAATATTATAGAGTCATGATTGAGACAACTGGTTACAAAGAACATAAAAAAACAAACATACCTTTAATGTCAAAATGTGCTATTCCATGTCCGTGCAATTCTTTCAAAGCCTTAAGAAGTTGAAAGAATATGCTTACTGATTCCAGAAATGTGTTTCTCGTAGTATATCTTCGTTTTTTTAATGAACCTCCTAGTAAAATTTGAAACATTCATCAATTGTATATCTGAACATCATGTTTTTCTTTTTGAAATGAAGCTATGTCAATGCACTACCTTCAGCATATTCCATAATGATATTGATGAATTCATCTTCAACAACTATTCCATATATCTTCAACGCCTTTGCATACCCTTGAAGTTGTAATGCAGGAATGGTAACCTCTTCCTCTCGAAAATATTGTCTTTTGATCTATGGAAATGAAAATTTCACAAGCAATATGTATATAGCACATTCCTCTTTATAACAGAAAACGACTTATTCAATATTTAAAAATGTTTTTATATAAGACAAAAAATTAATACCCTTTTCATAGCAAAAAGCTCATTCCTTTCCACAGATATACAAAGCAAAACTTGGCCAAATGCCCCTTTCCCAAGCTCTCCTACTACTTTGTACTGATGGTTCTGCCGAAATGATTTTGATGTTCTTGCAATATCATCCATTAGCTTAGAATAAAGAAAGAAGAAGTAATTATTTTAAACATTAAATACAATCAATTTTAGATACACAACAGCTATGATAATCATTGTTCATGTAAACATGCATCATCAGACATTACCGTGTCTTTGAAAGCAATTCCACAGTGGTCCGATACGCCATTTTCCTTTACCCGTGACAAAAATGGTTTCAAATCTTCTCTTGACCCAACTACTACAAATCTGTTGAAAGGATTATAAGAATTGTAAGCATTTATCTTTTGTACATTATTCAGAGCTCCATTTTCATTTTGAAGAAAGTGAAGAATATTTTTCACTTCCTCGTCATTTGTGATAAATTGCTTCAGGATATCATGGAAAGTGACATCATTCTCTGAAAAGATATTGCGTATCCCACCAGCTTGAAATTTATCGGGAGATTCTTGAAATTCTTCTTTTGTTAAATTAATAACCAGAGTTTCGACTGGAAATTTCATTTCGTTCAGCAAATTCAGCAATTGCAGGGTGGATGGGTTCATCTTAAGAGCAGGCATATACGTGTTCGTTTCAGATTCGTCATGTGTCTTGCTTTGAATTGCTAGTCCATTCAGATTTCTACGTTCCAACTCTTGAACATCTTTTCCATCATCATCATCATCAGTTGGAAGTCGATTCAACCATAAAGATTCCAAAGGAGTTTTACAAGCAATACTCCTTTCCTCATGATCTTGTTTTGCATCTTCTTGATCAGTTTGTAAGGTACCTTTATTAGATTTTATATTTTGCAATTCATTAGCAGACAGCATAAATACATTTGCAATCAAATTTTCAGGTATGAAATGGGATGAAGTCTTTTGAAAATATTCACACCATGCTTCAGAATCCTCTTTGTAGAACACTTTATTTGCGAGCAATTTACTTTCAACAGCTTGGAATTTGTCTTTTCCATCCATCTTCTTGCAATGTGCTTTCGATTTTCCAGTGAGGAACCAATTTTTCAAAAATGCCAGATTGAACAAATCTGTATCTTCTATCCAATCTGTGTTCTTTAAGCGGAATCTGAAAAACTTTTTGTCTTGGTAATGTTCCTGTGGGGTAGGAACGGGACGTCTAAAGCTCATTTTATGTCTTTCCTTGGTCGTCCTGGTTGAAAATGCCTGCTTTCCATTTCTTCCCATCAGTGACACAATGGTAGGAAACCAAACCTTGAAAAAATTAATCGCAAAGGTTGCAATTTTGCGAAGACAGGGGATAAGAATTCGAATGATCAGCCATAAAAGAAAGGAGTCTTCCGCTGATAACTTAATTTGGAACTCTGCAAAAATAGTTATCGAATTCGATATCTGGTCCTCTTCTGTTAATGGCGATTCAGAACTATCATCAGACTCGAAGACAAAGTCGCTTGACATGAGTGTATCAGCATCAAGATCCGTTGAATTTTCATCATCGCTTCTGGTTTCACATTCTTTTCCAATGGCTGTGTTTTGTTTACAGAATTTCATACTTGTAGATTTGGTTTTGAAGTGCTTTATATTTCTATAAAAAGAAAATCCATGCTTGTAGAATTACGAATTTTGTAAAAAGCCTGTTGAATCTTTAAATAGTTTTTAAATAAATGAACTTTTTTTTGGTATATTTATTGTTAAATTTTTTTCTTCGGGGAAATCAGCATCCAAAATTTAATTCAATTTTGTGAAATTTTTCCATAGCTAACAAAATTACTTGAAACTTCTTTAGATTGTTATCAGTCTGTGGCTATATTTCAGAATGTATCACTGAAAGTGGTTCTAAATAGAATTAACGAAATTCTACTAAATGCTCTACTACATATAATAGAACCACTTTGAATGACACATCATTTGAAATGAAGCTGCAGACTGCTAATTTTCTAAACGAGTTCCAAGTATTTTTGTACATTTTGCATGGTAATGAATATGTTTACACTTTTCAAGGACAAATCAATAATTAAGTACATTTGCACTGAGGGAAATTGTGCAACACAAAGAAGTTTGTAAACACGGAAGTGTTGGGGGTGGGGTTAACTTTTGAGTGTTCTTAATACATATAGAGTAAATTAGAAGTTATTGAGCGTCTACAGTGATATATTCTATACAACTATCAGGCATTTTTATAAAAACATTCATTTACGATATTGTGATGATTTTGCACTTATTGAACTTATCCACTATTTTGCAATCGTAAAACAGAATCGTTTGACATCTTAGTTTCGTTCAATGCGCATTTACTTAATAAACTCAGACAGACATATTAATGACAATGATAGCATAATTACAAATTTAACAATTAAACAATATGCAAATAAAATGATAAGCTATAATAAAATTAGCAGTTACTTTCGGTTTTGGACAGTTCATCAATAACAATACCCACACGCCTAAGGTATTATAAACATAAAAAAGAAGTATATTGTTTGCAATTCATCACTATCTCCAACTAATTCTTAAATCCTAGATTGAAAGTGTTTTAAGATGTAAGGAAAAGACTTTACTTACCCTAATCTCTTAGTCGATTTACTTAATATTTTTTATCTCGATTAAAAATTTCCAGGGGCTAATTATAGCAGCATTTAAGTTAGCCACAAAAGAGGAAGCACTTGTAAGGAATAGGTATTATGTACTTTATGGTATTATATTCGATCAATGTTGGAATAAAATTCCTTGTAATGTGTGTGTAGTTTTTCTCGAAAAGTCTGAAAATTATTAGATTTCATTTTTAATAAAATACGAGTTGTAAGTTTATCAAACAATTTTCTACCTTGATATTATGTAAAGGGAAAGTCTGATAAAGAAGGTTAATAGAGCACCACTCTACATTGCATGAACATTGAACTGGAGTGAAGTTCTTTAATTAGATACAGTGTGAAATGTAAATGTTGAAAAATATCGTGTCATGTTTGAGAATAGAAACTTTTAATTCTGTCTTTTTCTTTAGCACAGTTAAATCAATTCTCATCAGAGGAAAAATATTACAAATCATAAGCAAACAAACAAAACAGTTTTTACAAAACTTAAGTGCATTATAGTATTAACAAAGACCTCAGTTTATATGAAACAGCAGTTAAATTTCCAAATGAAAACATATTTCATTCAGAGTATGATCTGTGGTCCAATTAAAAAAAACAGTTATGTAATAATCAATAAAATACTTGAAGCATTTAAAGAGCGCCTATTTAATGAAAAGGCGCTTAACAATACGATTATACTAAAATGATGTACAATGTACTAGTAGTGATTGAAGCATTTTTTAAAAGAAAAAGAATAATGCATAAACATGCACAGACATATAAGGAAACAACTTAGAATAAAACATAAGTCAAATAGTTACATTACAGAAAAATGATATAATACAGAAATAATACTTTATTACCTATATTTACATTTGTGACTTATCTGTAAAAATATTTACGTACTCATGAAATGATTTTGTTTTTCAAACCTAAAATAAATTGAATGTGTGGAACACGTTGACAACTTATGAGTCGATTGTTTATGACTTAACAATGAATTTATGGTCATGTTCCGAACCTGTTTACACAGAGGCTTAAATGATAAATGTTCCAATAGTTTTATACAATGTAAAAGGGAAAACATTTTAGAATGTAAATATTTGATAATAATCATAATAAATGATTATAGCGTCTTAGGAACTCTGCATAAAATTCAGCGATAAAACAACTCAGTTGTGTCAATATTAATTTCAAAATCAAACTCGGCGAACCATCATAAATGAAGTTTTTACACCACCAAAGTTGTTTGTCAATGAATACCAAAAATTACAATTCCCAGCTGTCTGACAACTTCCGTTTCCGTATATTCCATTAAGGTTTGCCCACGTGCATATATTATGCCACCATGCACCTTTACGTGCTATTGCACAACTACCCTCAGCAAAATCATTATCTATGTCACGTGTGCTGAATTTTTGTCCATTCGTATTGGTTGTTCCGTGACTTTCAATGGATTCACCTAAAGTTATATTAAAATCCATGTTAAATGACATGAACATTTTAACGAATCTTGAAGTCTCTGAGATAATTCTAAAAGTGGTATTTGTAGACAACAGATCGAGGTGATCTTGTCACTTTTTTGTCTAGTATTCAAAAAAATATTTTTTGGACTTGTATACCTGCATTTCCCTGATAAGACCCTTCTTTAAGTCTCATTCTGTAACTATCTGTTTCGTTGGCAATCCTGAAATCCTTATATTTGGCATAGAACCAACCACCACTGAATTTTTCTAGCCGGACGTAAAGATCTGACGTTCCAAGGGTGGTCAGCTGATGTAAGTGATCATTTCCTATAAAAAGATTTATCAGTGTTATTTTTCTGACATTTCCTTTTTTTTTTATTAAAACAATTCTAGGTCAAACTTTTTATTTCATCAACAAAGTTGAAATGCATCAAATTTTAGTGCAGAAAACATGACATCAAGTGAACGTTAAGATAATGCCTTTGAGGTAATAATAACCAAATCTGCTTCACATACCAAGCCAGTGCTCTCCCTGGGGTTGCCCAAACCCTGATTTGTAGTTCAACCAATCCAAATAAAAATCAACAGATCCATCCTTTCTATGTTGAAATACCTGATAGAAATGATTAACTTTCTTACTACATCTTTTTCGATGGTTAAGACATTCACATTAATATTTTTTATCGCGTTCCAAAAATTTGTTAAACATGAAGTAAACTGTTCATTTAGCTCCAAAACATGTTGTACATGGATTAAGTCGTAAATTTTAATCTATGCTACATTTCGGTTCTATGATTAACAGGTTAAACAAGTTAAACTTAAATCATCTTTTTGTTTATCAGCAACATTAGGAAGTCCTATCAGTAAAACTCTTTTAATTGATAAATTTTATTTTTTGAAAGAAAAGTCTCTTTTGCTTCGATTTCTCAATTGAGATTAATAATACCTTAATAAAAACACCAAGTTCCATGTATTCTTAATGTGAAATATTGATTTTAAACATTAAAATATTTACTACATGTATTTGATCCACATGTATTGATTTATGACCTGAACGTCGTAATGCTCTGAAAAAAAAAGAGTTATGAAAGGAAGGAAGAAAGAAAGAATTGTTTCAAAATCTGTTTATATTGTACATGTATGTAAAACAAGCAAATGTTTAGAACCGATTCTTACCGTCCAGCCC